AGTTTAATAAGCCAACCACCACTCTTCAGCAGCAGGGATTTTTTGGATAGACAAATATGTACTAAGCATCAACGAAGCAATGAGAAACAATAGAACTGGACAGGAAGTTTTAGTGGAAACACTGAGGATGCTGGATTAGAAAACAAAGTGCTGAACACAAATGGCAAGAAGTTGAAAGCTAAGATGGAGCAAAAATACAGAAGTAACAAATGGAGATAAGCTTTAATGACATGGTAGATTTATTTTCTCTTTTTCATTGCTAAAACAACAGTTGCAGGTCTTCACCTTGGAAATTTTAAAATGCCTTATACAAATCCCATGAAAATCTTTCAAGTGTTTATGTAGAAGATCATAATGTTGATTCATTAGACTGCTTCCTTTACAGAAGTTAAGGTGCAACCCAAATACTTTCAACTTGCTTGCCACAGAAATCCATGCCTGCTATAGGCATGAATGTATTTCTTACCTTAATAGATCATCCAACAACTATGTTTCTCATTAGCAGAGAAAGTCCCTTCACAAGTTGTTCCCTCAGTCTTGTGATAACTTGAAATGAGAAGCATAGCTCATACAGTCTGTAATGCCTGAAATGAACACTGTACTGAAGAAGACAGGTTGAAGAAACCAGACTGGATTTCTTTGGACTAGGTACGAGAAAACTCGGCAGGAGTACACAAACTATATGAAAGGTTAATATATGAAAGGTTATGACAAGAGATTGGTGATTGTTCTACACATCCATTGGGAATAGAACATGGATACATCAGTCTTACTTGCAGAAATGAAAATAAGATTAAATGTGATGTTAGAAAAAAGCTTTCTATCTGTAAGACTCCTGTAGCACTAGTGCCGACTATCTCAAGTATCCAAAATTCCCTTCATCAGAGGTTTTTAAGAAAATGTTTTTAGACATTATTTAAGCTCAGACTGCTAAGCTAGAAGTTCTCTAGAAGTTCCTTCCAACCATGTACTTCTGTATTTCCACAACAGTTGTGTGCATAGTTTGGAACTAGTATCTTTCAGCAGTAGCCTTATTTATACAAAAGATTCTGCAAAGCAATTTCTCAGAAACACAGTATATTTTTGTCCTTTCCAAACACTTCTGATACAAATCAGTATGAGATAGCCTTTTTCATTTACATGTACATATACTACAAAAATATTACGGTTCTGCTTTCAGATGCTATAAAAATGAATATCAGCTTTAAAAAGATGTGAAAAACATAAAAATATCATTTTAACACAACCCCCCCACACATTTTCACCACAGGTTTTTGTAACAAGAATTGCATATGCAATACATGGAACAATTTAAAAATCATTTTGATGCATTATGAATCACCTGTAAAAAAATAAATAAGTGAAGACATTCTCAATTTTGGTAAATATTTATAGAGCCAAACAATATGAAGTATATGTAACAATCAAATTTCTAGTGAAAATGTGTGCAAGTAGGTTTATTTTGAAAGGAAAATTCCTACTCCCAGTGTCATACCCAATTAAATTCTCCAGGTAATGACCCCATTTGCATAGAGAGCTGAACCCACAAGTGGGAATTTTAATGGGCACACCACCTGAGTACATTAATTGAGAGTGACACTACTTGAACTAGTTTTGTGCTTACCCCACTGAAAATTCTACTCATATTATTTTTAATGTCAAGCTACAAGTCAAATTTCAAGATGATGGATTTGTTCTTTTTTAAGCATTGAATTTGAATAAAAGAAAGCTTTAATTCTGTTATGCATTGCATAGCTTTAACTAATCTGTAGTTCTGATTCTCACCATTGCTTCATTTTTCCAGTGATTGGAATTTAATTTTATTCATTAATTTGTGAATAATTAGATAGAAAATAATGCCTTCAGCAGCTAAATTGCTTTTGGATTGCTGTTTAATGTACTTTTACCAGAATATGTGTTACAGTTAAGCTGGCAGAATGGTTTACTAAAATGTAATTGTGTAAATATGTCTAATTATTCTTTCTGAAGAAACAAGACTGCATATAAAATTTCAGTCATGGATACCTTAATTTTCTTAAACTTAACCCCCATGAAAGCTTGATAGCTGCAAAGCAGATTGCTGATGCAGAGACAGCAGTTGTCAACAGTAGTGGAATCCTTGCATCGTGTTTCCCTTTATCCTTCAAACACTACTTGCAATGACCTTGAAGTCATTGTAGATGCTAAACCACTGCTGTTAGTCTACATTAAATATGTAATCAAGGTGTCTCCTCCTCACATGAAGAAACAGACAAATGGAGTTGCATTTCCTAGGGAGGAAAACAAACCCATCTATTTAATAATCTGTTTTTCCTGAGCTTGTTCTTATTAGTCTTCAGGACTGAAAGTAATGCAGGGTCTAAAAGCTACCATATATATGCCACTGTAAAAGGTATTAATTTTAAAATAATGTACTGGTCTTAATTTTGAGACCTATTTTGAAGATTGCCAGTTTGCAAGACTCTCTAGGGTCCATCCATCTTTCAGTTCTTCATTTCAAAAAGCCAGGCAAAATCAACATTTTTTGAACTTCATGTATCCAAATATAAACCACTGTTGAAATACAGTTACTTAGATACATTGCAAAGTTCCAAAGACATCATTTTCACAAGTCTATTTGATTAGGAGTTGCATACAGCAGTGAAAAAAGATGAGGAAATAATTTGCAGCATATCATAAATCTTGGTATTGTCTCAGACCTCCATAATAAAAGCCCTTTCTGTTCTCTTTGAACAACGATTAAAAAACACAAAACCAAACAAACCACCTTGTGAGAAAGCTGAAAAAGCAAAGCAGGTGCTGTGGAAAGACTGTAATGTGAAACACATACAAGTTGAGTACAGCGTATTCACACTGTGGTCACTGTGTGCAACTTGGAGATGAGACAAATTGCAGTTGCCTACACCACTGATTGAAGAGGAATTGTATAGTGCTTGGGCACCAATTACATACCCTACTGAGATGATATAAAGAGCCTCAATTACAGTGGAGTATTCCGTCAGTTAAAATAGCATATGCATATCAGAATAAAAATTAGTAAGATACTATTAAAGGTATAAAAGATATCTTTCATTTAGCATTCAATTTTTATGAGTATCGAATGGTAATGTACTAGCAATTGCTGTGATATACTTACATAATGGAGACAAACAGAAATGTATGTAGTGTTTTACTAAATTAAGTTTTAAGTAAGGTGAACTGATATACTAAAAAACATATAGAGATTAAGATCACCTCATCAAACTCAACATTTGCCTGTTTTGCAGAACGTAATTCAGAATTTTCTCTCTTTTGAACTACAGTAGAAATAACCCATCATATCAAAGACTTCTAAAGAAGAGAAAGGTCATTGTTTTTTGTCAGCAGCACCAAATCACTGGTAAATAGCATAAGCAAGTGCTTATGAGGAGGCTGACTTCTATGCAAGCAATCAACTTCCCATTCGAGTATACTGAGCACAGTGAACAAGTGCATCACGGTAGTAGATGCAGGATATTATTTTTATTGAACTTCTTTCAATATCCTGATGCTAAAATTGAGCTAAGGTCCTCCCCCTCTCTTTGGAAGTGATAAGAACTGGCAGAAGGGCTAGAAGGTAGGAAAAAAAAGTAAGATTAATTCCTATAGGGTTCTAGAACTACTATTGTCACCATCAACACTACCTGAACTCTTCCAACACATGATGTACACACTCACATATAGACAGAAAGAGGGACAGAGAGGATACCAGGCAGGTATTTCTCTAATCTTTAATTTTGAGGCCAAGAGCGAGATTTCATATATATGGTTCATTCTTTGATTCATTCTACAATATATCTGTTGCCTTTCAGAAAGTTGTAAGACTACTGACAAAAGGAGCTTTACATCAACTCAATTGGCATTGCTCTCCAAGAACATACATCAAATATTGCAATCATTAAGACAATTTTTAAAATTTTTAAAAATGTGTGAATAGCTCAGAAAAGCTTCTCATTTAGAAGATTATAAAAACAATAATTCACCAAACTCAACAAACAGTTCTTAACATGAGTGCTATGGCTGAAATAGAGTCATTATTCAATCCAAAAGCTCCCAAATGTTCATTATCCTTCTTCACAGAAGCCATTTTTTCTAGAAATATTTTGTATTATGGATACTGGATAGAATACCTATAATAAGTCTCAAATGCTGCTATTTGTCCATGCTTTTATCAGTTATCACACAAATAATTTTGTTGGTACACTGTTTCAATGGCAAGGATTTATGGTACGCGCTCAATCATATTTTCTGTCAGTTTTAACATCTTACCTCTATAACGCCCAGAGGAGATGTATCAGATTTTTTTTAGGCCCACTAAGAGCCCACGTATGCACAGACATGGTAGAACATTCAATAAATTTAAAATAGACATAGAAAAATTAGTGCAAAAGACTAGACATGCAATTTCTGCAGTTTTAAAATAGCATAAGCATGTTCACACTCAGCTTAAGCCAACATGAAAAAGAATCTTTGCTTAAATCACAGTACACAAAGGGTGTACTCTATCTGTGTTTGAACTAACTGATTTTAAAAACTCGCCTTACTTTACAACAGTGGTATGTGTGCAAGACTTCATTTCGTAGACCACAGAGACCTTTAGACCTTGATATGTCTACTGCAATAATATGACTCGACCACACTCTGTTCAGCTTGTTTTCAGTACACTGAAGACTGTTGCTGCAGATGTATTAAAATAGTTTTCATTTTGATCAAATTTAATCATTACTGGAATTCCACCTCAGTAATACAATTTCACTTAACAAGAAACTTTTTTTACTGCTGGAGATTCATGCTAGCACAGTTTCCAGTGCCTGAGCTGGTTTACCTGCACCTGTAAGTCAACCCTACTACATGGGCTCACTCTCTGTGCAAAACACCCAAAGGCCAAAGCCTTCAGGAAGTGTTGTAACAGAAAAAAATCACAAATAAGACATCATTCAGAAGAGTAAAAGGGGAGACTAGAAGAAGAAGATATCCAGAAGTTTCAAAATAAAGATCTTTATTTCAAAATAGTGTTTGAGAATAGCACATCTAGTTAATATAAAATACAAACAGCAAGTTACTATTTTTTCAAATGGGCCAGTTTGCAGAACTATATACTGAAACACTGTACAAGTTCACAGGAACTACTATAAAATAGACGGTTAAGTTCTGATGTTTTAATTTTATTTAAACTATATTTTCACATTTGTCTCCTTCTAATTCTGCTTGTTTTAATTACACAAGGTGCTTACAAGATTGCCTATAGAGTGAAAATTACAAAACAGAATTTAAGAATATAAATATAGAAAGGAATTCCTTAAACTACATACTAATATTCTCTGCCACGAAGATACATTTTATGAAAGTGCTAATATCTCTCTATGACAAACAGTAGCAGATTACATTTAAATGTCAAACAAATCACACACTTATTTTTTTCAATTGTCTGTTATACTTTGATACTAATCACTATGAGGGTTAATAAACGCTATTTTCACTTCCTAGTATTTCACAAGTGAAGTGAGAAAAGAAATATCTGCATATGTGTGGATGTGTGTGAGACAGTCTCTACACATACGCATGTATGCATGAACAGAGTTCTTGTAATTATTATTTGTATTTTAACAGTACTGGAAGTAAAGACTTAGCAGTAAATACAGTTCCCAGGTTTTCATAATTTCAGTAAATCAAGAAAACCTCTGAGTTTCTGTAAGTAGAAACAAGGGTTTACGCAGAGCAAACTGTACAAATAAACTTTTACACAGATAATGGATTCATTAAGTTGGCATTTTCTTTTCTTTTTAAACTATATCATCCTGTGGTAAAAGGGATTATTACTAACATCCAGTATTTGCTAAAAGCTTGATATGCTAATGTGCAGTTTTCCAAACACAAAACTGGAAGTGCTCCAGCAGGGTAGGACAGGAGACTGGAAGTCCTCTTGCCTGTCCCAAAAGCGCAATCAGACAAGAAACAGCCACAAGTCACCTCTCTATGACCAGAAGAACATGAGTAAGGACAGTTCATGGTGCTGCCTAGCCCCAGAGAGCATGTCCCCACCAGCAGGGTGCCAACCATAGACCTACAATGGGCGAAGCACTGTCTAGAGTTTTTCCAAGGTGCATCTAGTCCCAGTGCTCACTGTGATGCCCCCAGTTTCCCCCAGAGGCATTATGCCTTACAAAGGCAAAATGCCTCCAGGCACTGCCACTCAACCAAGGCACCTCTTTCCCCTTCCCAATGTGGTTCATACTTTTAGGAGTCATAATTGAGCCCCATGGGCCTGATTCTGAGCTTGGGGAATTTATCAATTTAACTATACGATTCCTTATTAGCTTGCCTATTACCATAATATCTTTGTGCTCTCTAGCTGGAGCTAAACCAACAGAAAATTCTGACATAATGGAAATGCACTTAGTTTATGCAACACAGATCTGAATCTGGCCAATATATGGACATACCCCCTCCCCCCCTATAAGAATCAATTCTTGTAGTAACTATCAAAAACAGGTAAGAAACCCTCTGAGTAAATCTGTGCTGCATCAGAATACACCACAATACTGCAGATATTAAGGCAAAAAGTAATACCTCCCAGCTCAATAGTATAGTTGAGTATTTGGCTATGTTACCTTCAGTGATAACTTGCAGTAGTAGGCACTACTAGTCAGTGTTCACAGGGAGAAGCTTTGGTTAACATCAGACCATTTGTTGACTTAGCTTCACAATCCTGTGATCTTTAGCTTGTCACATTTGCATAAATTGAACTCGCTACAGTGGAAAGAGACGTTTGCGGTCAATTCACTCAATACAAATATGCTATTGGCTATCAATGACTCTTGTAACAAGACCTAAATTTACGAGATCAAACAATCTACAAATGGGAAATTTGGAGTGTAGATAGGAAAGTTTAAATATGCGAGATCAAAACATGTAGGTGGTTTACAAGAAAAGTTAATGAGCTACAGACATGGAGGGGAGAAATTAGCAGATGGTAAAGAAAATGGGTACCATTACTCCCTAAATCTGGGAATGCCATAAACCTCTTTATATGTAGGACCAAATTCATTTCACAATTACAGAAACCTTAACGGTGTAACAGGGAAAAAGTTGCCCACCAGATTCTAATGATTTTTAAAGAATATCATATGTTTTTTAAATGTTTGGGGGGTTTTTTGGTTTGTTTTTTTTTTTTTTTACACTGCTATTTAAAAATAACACTTAAAATTTATCTGAGAATAAACACCTTTGCATTTGCTTTTTGCATTCAATGACAGAATTCCTTGATGAAGCCATTTTTGATTTGGTCTTTATACCCTGTTTAAATTCTGCCATCCTCTGTGGATCTCTCTCACACAGTGAAGAAATAAATCCTAAGCTATGTGATACTGGCTGTAAAACCAGAAACACTGACAAGGCCACTAACGTATAGGTTTAGATTCTTGAATTAACTTCTGATAATTTCCCTTTTATAGCCAATTTGTGAAGATTTGTTAGCCTATTAGTTTGTTAGTCTAATGATACATTTCATGTCTACACAGATTTCCAAAGTCTCTTTCTAAAAAAAAGCATTTCAAGTAATATTAGTACTGAAGTAAAATGTAAGTTCTCTATTCTCTCTTGATTGATAACAACAAAATCTTGGTACTGTGGTCCATGGCAAAACTTACATTGACTTTAGTTTGCCAAATATTCCCACAGTATCAATACTGAAAATGGAAAATACCAGGAATCTCTCTCAAACCAAGGAGATATTGAGAATAAAAGAAATATTGCCAATGTGACCACTGTAACAAAACCAACAGTAGATTCCTGACACTGACTTTGAATTAAGTTTAAAATAATAGACCAAAGTTGCTTTTACTCCAAAGAGATTGAAATAAAGACATTTTGCTTTTCAGAATGCCTGTAAAGGCATGTTACACATGAACGCATTTGAGCATTCCAACACTAAAGTTGGTAAAGGCAAATTCTTAAGGCTTTGCCCTGTAGTTTCTTCTCTGACCAAAACCTGTCACTCAGTTCAAATGACAATCACGCCCTCATGCAGCCTGCAGTATCAGACCTATAATTCGGTTTCAATAAAGTCTTTCATTTGCAAAGCCAAAAAGAACCTGGAATGTAGCTTGAGTTTCACATACAAAACTATACAATTTGTGTTAGAATACAGATTTGAGTATTGCTTTTAAAAAAACCATATACATAGGGAATTAACAGTGCAATACCAGTTGGCTGCGTGAAAATCTTACCTTGTCTGTCTTCAAATGCATTTTAAAAAAGCTCTCCAGTTTTATAGAGAATAAAATAAAAAGGGATAAATATTTCATGATGGGAAGCAGATCCCACAGCATTCCATGCAGATCTCCAAGCAATCTGAAGATTCACAACATGCGTCCATTATGCCACAGTCCATATCGCAGGGGCAGTTACAGTCATCCCCCATCTCGTCCCCACAGCAGCAGCAGCAGGCCTCCGATGTGCAGATGCCACAGGATGCTTGTCCCAGAACAATGTTACAGAGGGTGAGAAATTCACAGAACAAGCAAGCCAGGATACAGTGAACACAGCAATCTTCATATGTACCAGTTCAGTAGCATGCCATGTATGAACAAACAAAACAAACAAAAAAAAAGGAAAGACAAAAAAAGAAGAAATCATTAGTGTGTTATTCCAAATCCAGATATATCACTACATCAAATAAGTAGCTAAAAGACAATGATTCAGAATAGACATAAGCTAACACCACAAAGAACATGTTTCCCATCTTCAAGGTCACTTTTGAGTCTAACTTGTCTCCAATTTAGTATTGGGTTTGGTGCAAGTTTCCTTTCCCCACTTCATTTCATGCGAATCCCGAGTACTAAACATCTGCTTACATTCATTTTTCCAGTCGTTTATTATGTAAAATATCCATATGTTTTATCTTCAGTTGTAACTTCTTCCTGCAGGCCCACAAAGTGATTAAAATAAAACAAAAAACAAAGCCCTACAAAAAATCAGTTTATGAAGGAAGCTATCTAAAACCTTTTCCAGCCTCTCTCAGTGCCCATCTGAAACTGTTTTGTTGGCTGGCTAGTTATAAAGGAAAATAAGGGAGCTGCCACAACATCTGTACTTTCTTCGTAGTTTTATGCACACCTTGAAACCAGCATAAGAGCATGTTATAACTATTTCTGTAATTTCAATAATATATTAAACATTCAGTCAAAATACAGATCTTTCTATTGCTTTTCTACACAAATCTCTTGGTAATCCTTTTAATGTACTACTCTAATCTCCAGTAGAGTTCACACCTACACCTGAACATCAATATCCATCTCCCATAAGTACTATAAAATTACATGAGATAATTGAGATGTCCCACAAACTGTCTGCAAAAATATGGCACCCAAAGAGTAAATATATGGAATAACTTCAAACAGTTAATATATCCATGAGACATGACAGGAAAACACAAAGACTGGAACTAAACATGCGTCAGTGAAAAGGAGGCTGCAGGAGTGAGGGATATACTCCATTGCTTTCACTCTCCTCCCATACATATAAAGCATATTTAATTTGTAAGAGGCAGTGAACAGTCATCCAGAAACCAAATGAAAACTTAAAAATACAAGAAATGTTCAGGACAGAGAATTATAGTTCTTTCCTAGCCTCAGCTTTCATTCTTCTTTTTACTGCTTATAAGCCTTCAACTCCTTTGCCACAGACAGTTGAAGATTGGGAATACACTCTGGGGAACATATTCTGCCCCATCTCATCCTTTTCCTGTCCCTACAGTCTATCACAAGTATCTGCTATGAGAGGTTGGTGGGAAAGACATGATATTGAGCTATTTGGGCATTTGGGCACCTACAGGTGTTACGTTCTTACAGTTCACAGGCTGCAGATTTTTATTATAGGGGAAAGATTGCGATTACTTCCAACAGTAATACAATTCCCAGGCCTCCTAAACACATTCACTGCATCAAAAATGATGCAGTAGCATCCAACATTGCAGAAACTCTGATGGTAGGATAGTGTAGAGATGACTTGACACAAGCAATGACAAATACAGCAATGCAGGAACAGAGGTTCAGACTTGCAAAATCTGTCCCAAGAAGTAAAGCAACTACCTGAGCTCTTGGCCCGCACCAAACATCACATTGCTGAGGACTGATTTCTCCTACTTACTACACTATGTAGATCCAAACTTAGCTTGGGAACACCTGTACAGCAATGTGGTCACAGTCATAACATAAATAATGAACCCTTATGCCCCAAAGAAAAGAAGGAAATATCAGGAAAAGCAAAAAGGAGAAAAAAAAAAAACAAAACCAACCAAAAAACCCCTCAAAACCTCCCCGCTACTGTGCAGAAAGTCAATCTGAGAGGAAATCACAGGTAACACTGAGCTGTTTTTAAAGAATGTTGTTGCTTGCATTAAAAGGCTGCTTGTCTGAAGAAATACTGTCGCTAAGTAAATGACCTTCATAAAAAACCCAGAAGATATGTGAAATAAAGCTGGGGAGTATCAGTTCACTGAAGAGGACCAAAGCCAGACCGATAGCGATTAATTAGCTGGTTGTCATGGAGATGCCGTTAAATTTGTTCAGGTACAATCTCCTTTCAGATTTTCTTTTATTATGATGAAAAAAAGATAAAGAAACCAAGAGTTCTATCTAAGAAGCCTTCATATTTGAGGACCTGAATGTTTTACCATTTTGCATCCTTAAAACACAGCTGAATCTAATACCACAACAAATTTTGTTCGACAAATGTATTTTTAAGCAAAACACCATAATAAAACTTTATGTGTATCAGTACTGAAAATAAGTTGCTCAAACAAATCTTGTCTTCTTCATGCAAGGATATGTAAAATTGCAGGGAAAGAAATAAACATTCACATAAATTACAATATACATATTTATTGATGGGTAAGAGATGGAGTTCATAGGTTACAGAAAGGGACTGCACTCAGAAAGCTTTCTGGACCCACAAAAGAACTCTTCCCTCCTAATCTAAAAAAACCACTAAAGCAATACTTATGAGAAGAAGCCATGTTGATTTAAATAAAGGTGTTTCAAAGGTAAAAGCTATCAAAAATGATCCAAGACACTGAAAGAAATTTTGGCCATTAGTGCTATGATGGAAACTCTGTGGACGGTCTTTCTTTCCATTTCTTCTTCACTGAAACACTAAAAGGATTTATTTACCTACTGCTTATTTTTATTTGCTTCTTCCCAGATGGTAAAACTAATTTTCCATTCAGAAAATTTTTATTTAACAATTTTACTTATTTTACTTAACCCACGCAAACACTTAACATAAAGTGGAGATACCCTTTATTGCTCTCTTCATTTTTGCAATGACTCATTTGTACAATGAACATAAACTTTGATCCACATTTCAAGGACAAAACTGAAATAATCATGCTTTTATATTCTTCATGTTATTGACTTTTAATAGCTATCCAGGTAGCAATTAACAGAGGACACAGCATGCTGTTACCTAGTCCTACATAACTTGCTGAATTCAGAATCATGACTCTAAAGGTCTGCAATACATTCAAATAAAATGGGTGGAAGAATAGTTTCTTCCATGTATGACTCCTACTTTTTACCTTCTTATCTACAGACGTAATTACAAGCAAAAGGAAAAGGTACAGTCACGGTGGTTTTTTGTAATAATAAGAAATCTACGTGCTACACAAAACTCACACATCCTTCTCTAGTACCTGTATTCCTACAGCAACCTGTCAGTTCCATAGAAAAAAATTATATCGCGATATATATTCCTTTGCAGAATATTCCTTTGGTTGCCGTTGCAGGGTGGTGGAATCCAGCCATGAAGAAGATGCTACATAAAGTTCCCTCCAAAACAGATGACTTCAGATTTTTCATTACCATGTTGGAGAACACTAAAATATATTTCACTGCTTGCACAAGACTCTCTAATAATTCTTTCCTGCTTCTAAGACCAAAGATACTATTTTAAATTACAGATTATTTTAAATTTCAATACTATTTTAACATGCTAAGAATAAAGATTATACTTAACTTCCACTCTTTGACCTCACCACATCAAAATCCTAATAGTTTTTGCAGATGAGTGAGTAGTGGAACACATTAATCCAACTGGAACTAAACTTGATTTACATGTTTGGGAAGAATTTGGAAAAAAAAAAAAGTTAATTTGATAATGTCTGACAACACGTTTTCTGGAAACTTTGAATATATTTTCTGATAAAGAAATGATACAGTAATATCAGTTATGACACTATATTACTGTATTAGCTTAAAATGATCTATTTTTCAGGGGTAATATCAGTTATGACACTATATTACTGTAAAGAGAAGCTAGCTTAAAATGATCTATTTTTCAGGTTTTTTTTTCTTGAGAATTACAGATTTTCTCATTCTTCTTTTCCCATTAGATATACCAGTGCAACTTAAGAATTAGGAGTGTGCTTTTATCAAGGACCAAACTCCATCTGCCTTGATGTTCATGATGCAGTACTGTTGATAAATAGTTAACTCCTAAGTTTCTTGGGGTTTTTCACTAAATACTTCCACAGAGAAAGAAGCAATTATTTTATGTCTTATTACATAAGCCCACCACTAATGAAGATGAGCTTTTCCTTAGGATTTCCACACTACACCACACCAGTCTCAAATTTCCATCGCTTTTCAATTCTTTTATTACACTTTTCTCTAATTAATGTAGAAATACTGCACAACAGATCGGCACTATCCAAAAGTGAGGATGTGGGGTGTCAAACACTGTACTATACTTTATTTAAAAAAAAACACCAACCAACCAACCAAGCAGTACATTTGGCCTAGTTGCTTTACCAAACGCATTTATGATTTCATCAAAACATCATATCACATTGTGATAAATTATGATAGGCTTGGTCTGTAGGCAGCGATAATATATTTTATTAGACCAACTCACAGCTGGGGAAAAAAGATGAGCTTTCAGATACTCAAGCTTATCTTCAATTATCCTTTCATTTTGCCTGGGATGAAAGTTAGACCTGAAGTTAAAAGGGTCACCCCATGCAGCATTTTTAAATACCAATGTAAGTAAAGCTGTTTCCTTAGTCCTTTGGCACATCTCCAAAAGTTACAAATTTGTGAGGGAACTTCATCAAAACTGTTAAACAATGCCAAGGCAAATAGAAACCCAGCCAACTCATCCAAGTTTTTGCTTATATCATACACGCACATCCAGCTTCTTTGTGCTGATTTAACCAAAGAGTGTATACAGTACCTGTAACATCTACTTTAACTGGATTATAAACATTATCTCAGACAATATCCAGACAAGAAATAGCCTAAAGTCCCTTAAAACTGTTTACACACAGTTATTCAAAGCCCAGAGGGCCCCACTCTACCTTATCCCAGTTGTAACAGCTATGCTCAATTAAGCAAAAGAAACAATATCAACAGTAAAATAACTTTATTTCTGTCCATGTCTTTTTGAACATTTGCTCATGCACACCCCTTTGTTTCTAAGATATTTGCATACAGATATTACCTGGATATCCAATTCCTTTTAAGTACTGAAATACATATTCCTTTTACTTCAAC